TCCGAACAAGAAGAGATAGCGTTAATAGCGTCTATTAATGTTGACGTTTTAAGGCAGGAACTGCAGGACCATCATAACAGGGAATTTGTAGAGGATTTGCTGCACGGCCTAACTTTGTTTATATTATGACACAGGTTTTCAGCTCATTCCAGAAGCCTAATTTTGGTTTAAGAATTTGAGGTCTGCTTTAAAGAATTAAAACTGTTTGTCTACTTTGATTCAAAAAAAAGTTGACATAGGATTCTAATAAGCCCTTTCACAGAAATTCCTCTTAAAAGTTACCGTATCAACCCACCATGTGGTCTATCTTCCTCAGCTCATGGAATACACATTTATGGAATGGAATTCCTTTCTTTCTGGATGACAACGTTACCTTGGCTACTGACATGCATTTGTTTACTGATGCTACCCCAAGTGCTTTTGGAGGCATTCTTGGTCGCAGTTGGTTTCAAGGGTCGTTTCCCCCTTCACTACTTGAGGAGGATACTTCTATGGCCTTATTTGAACTTTATCCCATAGTGATGGCTTGTGTTTTATGGGGTCATTTGTGGTCGTGAAAAAGAATCTTATTTCACTGTGACAACCTTGCTACTGTTGACATAATAAGTAAAGGAAGATCTAAGGTTCAAAGTATTATGAAACTTATGAGACGTCTAACTCTCCATGGCTACACAACCAATTGTATTCATGCTATACATATTGAGGGCAAAGAAATATTGTGGCCAACTCTATTTCTCGTTAGCAGATGGACAGATTTCGAACGCTGGCCCCTTATGCCCACTATCAGCCTACCCTGTGCCTACCAGCCCATGAGGTCATGATGCCATGAACATTGATTTTTGGTGGGACAATGCTCTGAGCATATGCGCAGCATTACCTTGTCTACCCTACAAATCAGCACTGTCATGTTTCTTGAAATTCGTAGTGATTAACTCTTTAGCGATTCCATGTGATTTCTTTTGTGACTTCCTGTCAAACTGTTTTGAATTTTCGCTTTGACACCATAAGTTATATCTCGCTGGTATTCAGTTTCATTATATACAGAATGGCTTGGGTGATCCACTGTATAGATCTCTAAGATTACCATATATTTTCAGAGCAGTCCGTTGGACGCAAGTAACAAGTACTGGTAACAAACGTTTACCTATTCCTTTTTTGAGATGTGGAAAATTTACATGTAGATATGCTCATGATAATTCATACTAATTAGTGATGTAAGATTTGCTCAAGACTTGTCTAAATTCGTCCTTACACTGCATCATAAAAAAAACACAAAAAAAACCTGACCCATTCGGTAGTGGTGTAGATATCATATTTTTTGAAAACATATTGTACTCTGTAAAGTCTATGAAAGATAATGTAGACCAACGCATGGTTTCTAACCCCTGTCCAGCCTCTCCTTTGTTCATTGAAGTGAGCATAATACATGCACACTGTGTTCAACCTCTGTACAGAGGTACCTTTCTGGTAAAGTTAAAGAAACCCTCTTTAGATCTGGACATTCATATGGCTCTTATTCAGGTCATTTATTTCGTTATGGAGCAGCTACTTCTGGTGTTGCGGGGGAAATCGAAGATCACATGATTCAGACTTAGGCCGAATAAGTCTTCTTGTTATACTAGGTATATTCATACTTGCCCTTCCTCCTTTAGAAAGGCTCAACAGCGAATGCATAAGTGCAGATTACGTATGGGCGCTTCTCGAGTACTTGTATATAACAACTTTGTCATGCTATTATACATGTACACTATAAAGGTACACATACTACACAGATTAATAAATATACATACTATTCTTGGGGGCATTCATTTGTGTCAATACATGCTGGTATATCATGTATTTTTTTTTCAAAACACTGCATTCTTTTTTGGCATTAAATTCTTGGGGAATTTTTACCCCCAATTCAGTTATGTATATATTTTGTCATAAATGTATATTGTGTATATATATATAGTCTACATTATAGATTTATGTCTGAAGTGAGTCTGTATCTTTGTACCTGCAGATGTAGTCCCCCTGTTAGTCACGTTTCCATACCTGCTAGGGCGACACCTCCAGAGTCACGTACACATTCTTTACACTCACTTTTATGCATTTGAGATCGCTCAAATGGCTATTGTATCTGGTGGACTACTCCACCTCTTTTGTCTGTACAAGAGTGAGTCGTTGTACCTGCAGACGTAGGCCCCTGTTAGTCACGTATTGCCTTAAAATACCTGCAAGTGGGGTTACCTCCTGAGCCATGTACTTACATTCACGCTTGCTGATATTCACACGCCTAGTGGGATCGCTCGCTAGGCCACATGTCTTTTTCTGTCTTACACAGCAGGGTCGCCTGCCTTGTGTCGAGATCGCTCGATGAGTTAGTATTAATATGTATTTTGTATGTAAAGTACTTTGTTTGTTTTAGGTCATATTATGTTGAGTAGTTTAAATTACTTATGAGCAGCCCCCAAGAATGCCAAAATAATAATCTTAAATTTTTTATAACTGAACAAGTCACTAGTTTCGAACCTTTAATAAATTTTCTTGAACTATAATTACTTTTGTTTTTGTTGTGTATAAACTTTGAATAATTGTAATTTACCATGTGTTACAGTCAGTAAATCTAAAACTAGGACCGTGTATGTTTATTACATATCTCTGTTTCCATAGATTTACTGTTTAAATCTCATGTTTTTTTTAGGTCACCTGAGCTTTGCTCATGTGACCTATTCTAATCGCTTTCCGTCCATCGTCGTCCGTCGTCCGTCGTGCGTAAACTTTTTACATTTTCAACTTCTTCTCAAGAACCAGTGGATGGATTTTTTTCAAACTTGGTCAGAAGCATCCTTGGTAGATGAGGCTACAAAATTGTAAAATTGGGATTCCTACCCCAACCCCTGGGGCCAGGGGCCCCAAAAGGAAAATTAAGCAATATTTCAAAATTCTTCTTCTCCAGACTCAGAGGTACTACAGTCATTTTCTCTACATGGAAAGAAAGATCATCAGGGGCTTTACTTAAATTGCAATTTTAGGACCCCCGAGCTATTCGTTTTCCCTTGGAGAGGGGGTAAAGTTTACTATAGTTCATATAGGGAAATAACACTTTTGGGTATATTTTGACAATTTTCTGTAGGAAATTATCTTTACTTGGTGAGAATTAAATATCCTTTGAGGAAGATGGTTTCAAATTGTAAAATTGAAATTCCTGCCCCAACCCCTGGGGCCAGGGCGGGGCCCAAAAGGGAAAATTAACCAATATTTCAAAAATCTTCTTCTCCAGACTCAGAGGTACTACAGTCATTGGATCTACATGGAAAAAAAGATAATCAGGGGCTTTACTTAAATTCTAAATTTTAGGACCCCCGAGCTATCTGTTCTCCCTTTGGGGAGGGGGTAAAGTTTACTATAGTTTATATAGGGAAATAACACTTTTGGGTATATTTTGACAATTTTCTGTAGGAAATTATTTTTACTTGGTGAGAATTAAATATCCTTTGAGGAAGATGGTTTCAAATTGTAAAATTGAAATTCCTACCCCAACCCTAGGGGCCAGGGCGGGGCCCCAAAGGGAAAATTAACCAATATTTCCAAATTTTTCTCTTCCAGACTTAGAGGTACTACATTCATTTTCTCTACATGGAAAGAAAATCATCAGGGGCTTTATTTAAATCGTAAATTTCAGAACCCCGAGCTATCCGTTCTCCCTTGGGGAGGGGGTAATAAGTTTACTATAGTTTATATAGGGAAATAACACTTTTGGGTATATATTTTATCTATTTTCAGCAGAAAATTCCTCAAACTTAGTCAGAATCATCTTTGGTGAATGAGAGTACTACTTTGTCAAATTGGGATTCCTGCCCCATCCCCAGGGGCTAGGGCGGGGCCCCAAAGGGAACATTTACCAATATTTTCAAATTCTTATCCATTGATGACATGACAAGTATTGTATTTCACTTAGTTTACATGCTGATTTCCACATCACATCTAAACAATAAAATAAAGCTACCAGTACCTATGATATAACTCAGGTGACCGCTAAGGCCCTTGGGCCTCTTGTTTATCATATCTGTCAAAGAGTTTTCCAAGATAAAACATGTTTTCTGGTTTGTCCTCATCAATGAGACCCCCTACTCACATAAAAGTTAGGTGCTGTGCTGGTTGTCTGTCTGTCCTTCTGCCATCCACCTGTTTTGTCTGAGACTGTCTGTAGACACAAGATTGTTTGGGCTACTGTGTTAATCCCTCAATAAGGCCAGGGGAACAACAGGTAATTACTTACTCCAAGTAGGGGGCTGGGCCTTTTACAGGACATCAAAAAGCATTTGTTTGCATTTTTTACTGAACTGTTATAGATATAGATGGGCTTAGAACCAGGCTTGGTCTTTTTACCAGACAAGTACAGTAAAGTGCTCTGCAAACTGTTCTTCAATTTGATGTTCTTTATATGATATTTCAATGGGGGGGNATATCAACAAGAATCTTGTGATGTTAAGTTTAAATAACTCGTACTGGAGCTATTATCCAGTCCACATGTGGTAATGATACTAGTCAATGTAGCTGTATAGTTGTACATGTATATGTAAGTAAGGTTTGATGTCCTATTGAGTTTGTACATGTACACCATCTCGAACATTATCATAGTTGTGATATTAATGTATTTGATCTTTGGAATTAACCCCCCCGTTAGATTTGGGAAAGTTTGAAATGTCACCCATTACCATTTTGTGTAGCTATGTGATCAATTCCACTCATTTTATTTCTATCTTTTAACAAGTTGTAATTTAACTTACCATGGCTAATCATTGTACAATAGTATATTACAATCATTCTTTGGTTTGCTTCAGGTAGTTTTTGGGCTTGATTTAGAATATCTGATTAATAAATTATCTTGTAATTATTCAGTCATTTTTGATATGGCTTAAACATATTTGTACCAGATTTCTTTGTAATGATGCTGTATTCTGTAAACAATAAAGTGTATGTTTATAATGATGTATGCTTTTCTATATTGACAGATCCAGTCACCAGACAAAGTAAGTACAACTAAAGAGTATATATATATATATTTACCTGTCCCCACATTTATGTATGTTATTTCAATTATGTCATATAACCCACATTAATATAGATTTTATTTCCTGGTTTTAGAAAATTTTCCTGAATGTGTGTTTATAAACTTCTTGATTTCCAGAAGTGAGGTGTGAATATAAAAGTTATCTATTAAAGTAAGAAAAATAGTTGACAATGTTCAAACTTTACACTTAAAGTCATTACCATTGACGTTACAACTAGTTACATTAACCAAAGTGTTAATGAGTTTTATTGACTTACCTGTAAAAATCCTCAGCGTACCTTTTAGAAATGAGGAGGCGATGTGTTGATCACCTTGTCAGTGATCTTATGATGTGTGGAATTTGGAGCCTGGAGCCACAGTTGATGGTTCAGTGGTCAAGTCAGCTGACCGCTATCACTAGCACGCTATAGATCCTGGGTAAAATAGGAAACCATAGTAATGTCAAAGAATAGAAAACAACAAACACTTCAGTCAGACCCTATTACTGTATAACATGAAATGTTCGTGGGTACTTTCCTTCGTGGTTTGAAGCCATTTAGATCGGCTCGTGGGACAAACTTTCGTGGATATCCTATATTAACAAACAGTAGACACGTGTATCATTCAAATTCGTTGTATTTATTTTCGTGGTTCAATAGCAACCACAAATGTTTATACACAACGAACATTTCATGTTTTACAGTATAGTAAAGGCAAATATGAATACCTGACAAAGTATTGGAACTATATTGGAAAATAAAGTCAAGTATGGCGATGCAACTTTTACAGCTAAATTTAAGATCTTGAAGAGAAAAAGATAAACGGCAACTTTTACAGCTAAATTTAAGATCTTGAAGAGAAAAAGATAAACGACAGAAGATTAATGTATGTGGGTATACGTCTGAAATAGCTGTGTATCTATGACATTGTACAGATAAATAGAAAAAATACCAGACGCATTTTATGATTTAACTGTGCTGATCATTCAACAGAAGATAATTTGTAATATTGAAAGCTGTGTGTGTAATTAGCAGTGTTGATAGAATTTGGGTGAATTTCACTACATATTGTGGAAGTTTTGTAAATATGATAAAAGATAACAGTGTACATGTTGTTTTGATGTAAAACAAGAAATCAAAAATGAAAAGTGTGTGACTAGCCGCCATTTTGAGATATGCATACTAAAACAAATGGTACACTCATAATGCATGTGAACCTAAAAACCAAATTTGTATTTGTAGAAATTGTGTTGTTATCCAATCAAGCTTCAGACCAGCATTCAGTCTGAACCGTATGTGGCAAATGATGCAATAATCCCGAATTGAGCGTTAACCACTCTGCCGCAATGTAAAAACAATAGAAGAATTTACAGCGGTACCTTAAGACAGTTGATTGAGTACTTTGATTTCTCCTTGTTTCGTTGAAGTCCCCCTCAAACCTGTGTGTGTACAGGTGTAAATCCTGAAACCTGTGTGGGTACAGGTGTAAACCTTCAAACCTGTGTGTGTACAGGTGTAAACCTTCAAACCTGTGTGTACAGGTGTAAACCTATCAATGACCTCATCCACTAACAGAATTATTCACCCATTTCATTTATTATCTGAAATTGAGATCATGTCAGCCAATCCTAATCTAGTTTGTGCAATTTCTTCATTATGGTAATGACGTTATTGACCAATAGTAAGGACTGTTATGTAATGAGTACCAGAAGTGATCCTGAAGGCTTAAGATATATGTGTCCTTGCAATCCGGGGATATTATTAGGAACCAATTGACCTTGATATGGCTAGTAGATAATTTATGTCAGTGATCACCTGGTTGTGGGGGAGAAATATAATCACAGGTAAATCATGGTTTACCTGTATTGTGTTCTACCTAGCAACCCTGGTGTATTAAGAGATAGCTTATGTTAAAACTTGTCTCCAGGCTTCAGATATAGATAAGACACTTGGAGTGTGGTACAGATTTGTTGATAGCGGTTTAAAGCAGGGTGGTGAGCGAACCGCCGCAAGTATCCGTACAATTAAAGCAATGTGTTGACTTTCTTAAGATATTTCAAACAATATCTTTACAATTATTTTAAGATCCTGTTAAGAGGTCTGTTAAGTTCTTTCCGACTTCAAGAGTTAAATCTGTGCTGACCATCACATAGAGTTAAATCTGTGCTGACCATCACATATAATTCAATCTGTGCTGACCATCACATAGAGTTAAATCTGTGCTCAGACCATCACATAGAATTCAAACGTTGTCAAATGCTCCAGACCTTGCAGCCATCAAACACCTTGATCTTTTGGCCATCAAACACCTTAGATCTTTTGGCCTTCAAACACCTTAGATCTTTTGGCGATCAAACCCCTTGATCTTTTGGCCATCAAACTCCTTAGATCTTTTGGTCATCAAACACCTTGATCGTTTGTCATCAAACACATTAGATCTTTCACCCATCAAACACCTTAGATCTTTCACCCATCAAACACCTTAGATATTTTGGCCATCAAACACCTTAGATATTTTGGCAAATTCAAACACCTTAGATCTTTTGGAAATCAAACACCCTATATCTTTTGGCCAAATCAAACGCCTTACATCTTTTGGCCATCAAACACCTTAGATCTTTTGGCCATCAAACACTTTAGATCTTTTGGCCAATTCAAACACCTTAGATCTTTTGGAAATCAAACACCTTATATCTTTTGGCCAAATCAAACACCTTACATCTTTTGGCCATCAAACACCTTAGATCTTTTGGCCATCAAATACATTAGATCTTGCAGCTATCAAACACCTTAGATCTTGCAGCTATCAAATGTTCTAGACCTGGTCTGTCATCAAATATGCTAGATCTTGTGGTCAACAAAGCTTGTAGACCGGGCGACGGACAGGCGCTGGTGTGATGTTGATACTAGGCTGTCTGTATCAATATAGCATGCCAATTACATTTGTGAATGTATAATTGTTGAACATGATATTGGCATTTTAACGTAATTGACATCCTGCACACAGAATTCACAGCTGCATTTTGAAGTGATTTCCAAGCCTATAATTGAGTAGGAGACAATTTCCCAGGGAGGATTGCTTGAATAATGCTATTTGTGCTTCAAGGTCTTAGTAATTGAAAACACCTCAAGATTCCACTGAAGATTCAGCTGAAGAGCTATAGATATTGAAAAAGCTATTAACACAACTGAATTGTAGACATTTATCTTCATCCCTAAATATATCTCAAGTGTTTTGGAGACACGTTTAATTTCTAAAGAATATATATTTATTCCAAAAACATGTTACAAAATCTGAAAGTTCTGCTGAACATATTTTTTAAGTATAATGTCATCATAGGTTTGAAGAATTGCATATTAAATTCTAAATGCAGGAGTGTCTTTATAGCAGGTATTTACTTTACAAAAGTGTCCTTAATGGACAGATATTTGCTATATAGAGGTGTCCTTCATAGACAGGTATTTACTATACATAGTTTACCTGTATATGCAGGTATCTGTTGTACAGATGTGTCCTTTTTTAGGTCACCTGAGTTTTAGCTCAAGTGACCTATTGCTATCCGTTTTCGTCCGTCGTCGTCCGTCGTCCGTCGTCCGTTAACATTTTACATTTCAAACTTAAAGTCAAGTTCTGCTGGGCCGATTGAACTGAAAGTTGGTAGGAATGATCGACTCATGGTCCTGACAAAGTGTTGTTATTTTTCAGGTCAATCAGAAATCCAATATGGCCACCACAGCCGCTATTTTGTAAATACCTATTCTAAACTTAAAAACAATTTCTAATAGGCCGATCTTATTTAAAATCGGTCTAGGAATGATCAGCTCATGGTCCTGACAAAGTTAAGTTAACATTATACTTAACTATTTTTTACTCAAATTGGTACATATTTCAACAACAAAAATAAATACTGTAGGACTCAGGTGACCGTTAAGGCCCATGGGCCTCTTGTTTTCTTATTTGACAGAAAGTACAAATCCCGAACAAGTAAATTGGGAAAAAAGTTATCTCTGCAGGTTTGGTCTGGCACATTATCTGCTGTTAATTTAAGTGCTGAACGAGATTTTATAAAAATGAAACGAAGCTGATCGACCTATGTTGTCTAAGCATTCTTACATAATTAAGTTTTGGGAAACACCATTGTATGATGGTGTATTCTTGATTCCTGCTAGACTTTAAGGTCTTTTTAAAACTGCTTTCCCTAGCACCAAAACAAGCTCCTAGCTAGAGGCTGTGAACACATGTACCAGTATATTTCTCCTTCCTTGTAAACTTATAGGAAGCTTACTTAGGTACAGTACATTGAGATTGTTACATTGTACTTGTGGGTGAGGTATCTGTCCATACATCATTACGTGTCACATGTCTGTGACAGGCTGTTCATTGTTCAGATGTTACAATAAGCTGTAACCTCAATGTTGTAATGAAATAACTTTACAATTCCAATAAACAAATGACTTTTGCAAATTAAATAATGAATATTTGAACAATTTCTGATAAAGCTTTGAAATTCTGTATAAAAATTCAAGTAGAACCGATCGGTTTAATATGTGAGTCTGTACTATAAAACCCAGTTATAATTTTCTGTCAAACAGATAATTGATTTCAGTACCTGGAACCATCTAATCAAACACCACCTGTGTATTGGTTAGGTTTGTATGTCATTTACATCCTATTAACAGCTTTAATGGTCATTTAAAGACAAGCCAACTTGTGGTGGTGGGGATAACCAGAGTACCTGGTGGAAAACCATTGACCTGTGGTCATAAGGTCATAAGTAGTAACAAGTGTTTATACAGGTCAAGGTCATAATTAACAAGTGTATATACAGATCAAGGTCATAATTAACAAGTGTATATACAGGTGAAGGTCATAATTAACAAGTGTATATACAGGTGAAGGTCATAATTAACAAGTGTATATACAGATCAAGGTCATAATTAACAAGTGTATACATACAGATCAAGGTCATAATTAACAAGTGTTTATACAGATCAAGGTCATAATTAACAAGTGTATATACAGATCAAGGTCATAATTAACAAATGTATATACAGGTCAAGGTCATAATTAACAAGTGTATATACAGATCAAGGTCATAATTAACAAGTGTATATA